ATGTCCGTCGCGAGTCAGACATGCTTAGTGTTTGGACACCAGTACCTTGTTTTGACCACCACTAGCGCAAGGTAACAGTACATTTTTAGAGTTCCGCCCTGGGACACGATCCGGTGGTGACCACGCCCCTGACATGAATTCTGGCACGTGACATCGACATGGGACATGTTACCGTTATCTCCACCATCTCCTCTAGAGAAACATGCAAAACATGTCGGACTACAATGATCTATTGAATTATGCAGACTGAAAAATCAAACATTTCCCTTGTGCATCGACATGCCATTCATATAGAAAGGTATCGACAGCAACAATACTTTATCGAATAATACAAAGCCAAAAATAAATAAGTATTTACAAAAACATACCGTGACAGCAGACACGTGTGATGTGTACGTTTGACAGTCAGACCTAGCACGAAGGGGCTGGAGAACGGGGGTCAGGGAGGGGGCGAGGGACTGGGGATGGACCTAAAATTGGGATTGTTGATTTAGAGAACTTGTAAAATCGTTGTGTTCAATACACATTAAGAACATTATATTTTTTCTGCGTCCATATCCTTTTTAACACGACCACAGATGCCCCTGTGAACGGCTTTGTAAAGTTTTTCTGTAACTTAAGACTTATGTCTTTAATGTTTTACATTAAATCCGTTTTCCGTATGCCGATTATATATGTATATATATATATATAATACACTTATTTCGATATGTAAGTTTATATATACTAGTATATATATCATACAGTTCCCATGACTACATTGTACACCAGGTTGCGACCCCTGCACAACCGAACACCCCAAAAACAAGTGTTCTTTTATTTTTCTCAAATTACGGCTACCATCGTCGGCACACCCATCGTTGGTGAAACAGAGAGTGTTTTATACCGCTAGAATACATGAAGAAAGCAAAACAACCAAGTGGGTCGGCTCCCGTCAAGCGTCCGCCTTCTCCAGTATCGTACAACACCTCCAGTCCGTGTAATAGAATTTAAACCAAATCGTGTTGTATGTATTTTCTTACGATTTCATCATTTGTGTGAACACGGCTTTTTCTCAGAGGAAAGTATCACAGAGGTTAAAGACTTTTATTTCTTTTTTTACCATATAGAACGCCCGTGCCTCTGTGGTATTTTTATAGTAATCTAAAAAAATAATATTGCTTTCATTTTTTTCAGTTTATAATAAAAAGGGAGTCATTCCTTATGCACCATGTTTCGTCGCCCTTTGATTTGGGGTCACGTGGAAACTGTTCCCAGCATTAGTAATTCTTACCAAACATATTGACGTGTGATCTCCGTTCTAGTTCCGATGGGACTGTAACATGGTTCAGTCAATATGTCAATAAAGAGAATTAAAATCAAGAGCAGTGCTCTTCGACAAGAATGTTGTTTTAAATGTTATGGACAAATGGTAGTTACATAAAGAAAGCTTCAAACAAAACATGTTACTGTATTTATTATAAATGTAAAAAAATAATCTAAATAAGACATTTTTTTATTATTTCATTAATATAATAAACCAACAATTCAAGTGGTATAGTAGTATATTTATAACGTGTATTTCATTCGTAAAATTGTTTAGATATTATTTTGACAACTTATTTCTAACAAATTATAATTTCATTTGCGGTAGAATTGTATGATCTAAACTCGTCAGAATGGATAAAGTGTTTATTTATAGACCTGGGCTTGAGATTGATTTGAGTGATATATTTACTAAATACATCTGCCAGTTTATTTGCAAAATAAAATATTTTTAGAAATTCCTATTTCTATTTATATATTTATCGTGACCATCATTTCCCCTTGGCTACACTCTCGTGTTAAGCACGGGCTATTCTATTTTATTAATCAAGTATTTTCTTTAAATGAGATATTACTGCAAAATCCTTTATTTGACTGGTAAGTCTAGTACTAAGAGTGTACGCTATCAGTATTTTTAGGTGTAAAGATTTAAAATATTAATAAGGAAGTACTTACTCGCTAGGCTGTCGTGTAGTTTTTATACGTGTAGAAAATAACTGACACTATATTAAGGGAGACAATACTCTCTGTTGTGTTGAGAAGAAAAGTCTAACACAGGGCTACCTCGTTTGACTGAACGCTAGTTTTCAGCTCTGAATGGTGCTAACAAGACCCGATTTAAAGGGACCGTACGTTCTCGGTATTTCATTGCTTAAATTTAAACCTTTTTTTCTGGCTCAAAACGACATAAGCTTACATAAAACAATAGATAGTATGTAAAAGTAGTTTAACTACACATAGAGGCCGTTTGGTGCAGGTCTATTATAATATTGTGTATCAACTTTTAAAATGTTACATGAATCTATAATCTCCAACTTCCAGGAACAAAACATTTATGAACACGTAAATAGTGATGGTCTTTCTTGTTTGTAATGCAACACCTGTGCCACTAGTGTTGTATTAATATCACATAGAATAACAGTGAATAGAAAAAGCTCATAATACCAGTTTAAGAAACGACGACAGCAGGTTGATAATAGATACATATGTATTTATCTTTTACGTAAGGTATCCTAAAAAGTAATGGCCTTTATTCTGTGCCTTCTTCTCTAGCAATGTAGAAACCTTAATAGATGTTCTGCCCCCATATCTCGGACCTGCGGATCTACGTCTCTTTGTACTCTTTCATGGATTCGTTTATTGTTGTTGATATGGTACGCCGTTTTTATATGATCTTGGCAGTTGGGGGACGTTAAAAAAGTTCCGGTAAAGCCTGTTGTTAGATTCCCATTGACCGGCTGAGAAATCCTGCTACCTCTCCTTATTGTGGTCATCGTGTTGCTGATAAAGCTGACACCGGTGGACACTGCTGTTATTATGGTCTTAGCTTGCGACGTCAAAAAGGAAGAAGAATAAATATACATATTCAACATACTCATCAACAATGATGAATATTTGGTAAGATATATTGGCCATAAACAACAGATTTGTAGTGGCATTAAATTATCTTCTTACAACTGTAATCATCTGAGTCTGAATTTTCAATGTTAGGTTACATACGAAAACCTTACCCGATGGCTATATCACAATATATTCTCATATTTTTTCTCCTTACAGAAACCAATACATCGTTTTTAAAAAAGGACATTATGAATAAAACAAGCTTTACTACAGAGACTGAGTATTGTGGACATGCATTTCACTGAATCATCAGGACGTGGTTTACAAGAGCGGGACCGTGCATGCCCGTGATTTACGTCGTGTGCCGTCGATATATGATACACAGCCCCTATAAGCTGCAATAAATATGGAAGAAAATGGTCGAGGATAATTGAATGTCGTTGGTTAATCAATGTTAAATGACGTGTTGCTGACGGAACGCTGCAGATTAAGCAGGAGGAACACACTAACGATGAAATATAGAACACTATTCTTATATGACCACCAGACATGCATGACTCGCCCCGCACGATACCCACCATCAGGACCAGGGAGACTTAGACTTGGGAGTTCCATAAGCACGGAAATCCGCTCTTTGACGTGCAATACTAAATATGGACAAATTAATAAAGGTCTGTATTGAGCACGTGGGAAATGAAGCTGAATCGTTAATGTCACTGATCGTTATAACCAGACACATCTATCTTTGAACGAAGATTTCTAATTATAGAAAACTAAAGTACTTTCTTCCTAAATAGGTCGCCTTGGTGCGATCGCCTTGTCGTTGAAAGTATCCATTGTGTGTGTATACAGATCTAAAGATAAGGAGAGTGTATGGTAATGCTATATATTCAGTTGTATATTAATATATGCTACTTAAATGAACTGGCTATCCTAAAAAGAAAATATAATATTTCTAAAATAAATTCCAATAAAGTAAATGTAATACTAGATACCCCTCAACAGCCTGTTGTGATGATATTTGTTTTAAATACTGTTGATTGTGAGGTGTTTATTATGTTCAAATCGATTTCATTCCTGTTGTAAATTAACTTTCAGTACATGTATATAAACATCGCATTCCATATTGCCGACAGGCATGATAGCATGGAGGCTATTTACTTGTTCGGTACATTTCATGTAGTCTATATAATAACAACTGATAAGTTTTCTTCTGAAGTATCCTTTTGCTATATATACATAATCCAGTTATATTAATTGCATCTCCTCGCAAATTTTGCAGAATGCACTAACTAATTTCCGAGTGTATGTTTTACGAACAATAACTAAATTCAAAGTTTTAACCTTAATAATATATGATAGCCGAAGTGCTTATTGTTTCTAAGCATTAGATAGCACTTATTCTATTTGCATTTCATTTTTTATGTAATGTAAGTGTTCTTTGTTTATCTGTGGCTCGATAAAGGGGAGGATTGTCCCCAAGATTCGACAGCCTTATGTTGTCTACACAGTTGTAGCCGACAAGATTCCACCATTCGATACTGAATAAGATTGTTCATTTTCTACAATAATTCAATAAATATACTTATTTGTATTATCCTGATCTTGTATTAGTGTGACAACCTCTATTATTTCATATCTGATAATTCATACTTTATAGTTACTAGATATAGTTATCGAGTAGTATTTCTCTCTGTTTAGCAATGAATTTAAACATCAAATGATGAATTTGCGCTTTGTTCCTGCATAAAAATGTTTCAATCATATAACTTATCAATGAAATCACCTTTTTTCAGAACAAAATATTTTTAAACTAAGAATGTCTTCACAATATAATGATTATATATTTAATATTGAAAAGGCAATATTTTGTATCTCACTGCAGTGAGGAAAATGTGTATACCTGAACATAACAAAATGGCAAATTGTGAAAAGTTGTATATAATATCTAGTATAGTCATATCAAAATTAACACATGATTATTTAAGTTTAAATTTCAATAGCAAAATTCCATGAACTCACACATATTTTCAATGTGTTATTCCTAAGATATTTTTTATGTATTTTTGTGACCGAAGCTGTGGGTTTTATCTAAAAGAATACACTAAATAAAAAATACAAAGAGAGTGAATTTTGTTTATTTGTTTTTTATTTGTCATAATGGAAAATTCTGATTTTTATCAATTATACATTATCATTCATTTAATTATACACGGCATAAAACAGCAAAATATCTAACAATAATTTCTGTATGTTCACAATAGTGAAAACATGTACAACATGGTCAAATCATACGCTGTTTCAAAACTGAAATGGCAGAACAAAATAAAATGACATGTTGTCGATTTTCAATTATAAAACCAAATCTTATGGAAATAAATAATACAGCAATATAATTTATTGGATGGGCTTTGCATTTGATTTTTGTTATAGATTAAAAATATTGCACATAGTTTTATTTTCGATTAGAACATATACAATTTGATGTAGTTGATGTACGATTTTGACCATGCTAGACATACAACATTCCCCATACGAAGGCTGCGTAGTAGCTCGCCATTGCTGTCCGCCTAGGACGTGGAATGTACCCTGACTGACAACAAACTAATCTACCACTGTACACTGGATTTCAAGTAGATCCGTTCATTGATAAATACGCCTACAGAAGTATAATATTTGAAGGACGAATTTGCCCTCCTGTTTTACTCTCTTTAATTGCTTAATGTACAATGTTATCAAAAGGCACGCATACAAAATTTCTGTGACACTTCCACCAATAACAAACGGGAGCGAGTCATAATTACGATGACGTCACTTCAATCTTGAAAGTGCATCATCGCGATGACCGCACTCCATATCTAGTCTAGCACTCGGGATATGCCTGATCCTTACAACACATTAAATCCTATTTAACCGTAACCAGCTCAGAGTTGTGGGACTAGAAATCGAGCTCAAGTATAATTATAATTGTTATATTGATCACTGTCTTACTCAGTACCTAAGCACACCACTCTCTCAACCAACGATAATAAATAGAATATTTACAAGTGACATGAAATCTCAAAATGCAATGAAAACAATGGTCATTTTACTTATATATATTGTTAATTGAAAAATTCTCATCATTTGAGCAAAAACACAATTCTGCACTTTAGCTGAACGCAGTCTATTAGTGTAAATTGTTAGCAGACCAAACGTCGCGTGATCTAGTCTTACTATAAGTAAACCCTTATTAGGCAACAGTCATTCAACCAATCCACACACTTTGTTCATAGGACAAGCACCATTTAGTTGACAATGTACCGGGGCCAATAACAGTCCTTTTCCATCTCTCCATAACAACACAATTCAAAATGGGTTTTTTGAAACGTTGGAGTGATCGGGACCTACAGCAGTCCGCCGTAGCCTGTGTAACGTGAAATGCTGAGGTCGGGACGCGAGCTGACCCCTCTGTGCGGTTATGGGGCACCACTGGGTCGATTTACCCGAGAGAGTTCCTCCATGTCACCTTCACAACGACAACACATATCACTACCTAGATTTACTGTTCAAAGAAATCACGTCAGGGTGAGCGCTGGTGAAATCGGAGACACGGATAGAGTCCAGCATTGTCATAATCCGTGGCAATAACAATATTTCTATGCAGTGGTGGTTCGTGACTGAGATCCTTCCAGGGTAGATGAGACGTTAGCACGCATTCGAAACACCTATGTTGTCATTTCTCGGGATTAGATGAAACAGCTCTCGTATATTTTTACTCGTTACCTCTCGTGAGCGAGGGTATCATATGACAGACCGTGTTCTGTCCAAGGGAATTAGGTAGAGTGTTTCAAGCAAAAGAAAAAACGCACCGGTTCACGACTTACTAACGAACACACTCTCCCACTAGACCCTAACGCTCCAGCGTAGGCCTCTGGAGGCCGGAGCGCCATCCATCCCGAGTACGCCATTATTGACCCCGGCCTGTGGTGGCCGGAGTTCGCGCGTTATTGTTCACGTGCAGTTTTCGGCAGGTTAACTTTGACCGATCACCTTCACGCCATCGCCCCAACCATATTTGTCGTCGTAGATAAGTTCAGTCCAGATGAAAAACCTGACGATGAAATGCTTGGAATACTTGAAAATGACGATGCAAAACTTGATGGTATGGATGATGAAAAGTTATTGAATCCTCCTCCAAGGCCTCCGTGGCCAAGACCGCCTGATCCCTGCATGTGAGACGCGCCCGGTGAGATGTAAGACCCGCCCAGAGACGAGCCACCGCCCATGTAAGTTGGCATCGGGGCGTGCATGGCGTTCATGTTGGGGTGGAATCCGCCGAAGGTTTTGTCGAGCGGTTTCAAGAAGTCGGACATCTGCATGCCCTTTCCCTTCTTCTTACTCTTAGTTGACATTTTCCTGTTCCTCGTCTGAATGCCGTCTTTCTTCATAGTGAGCGGTCGGTTAACCTGTAATGTACAAACAAACAAAGCATTAGTTACTAGGTCTGTAACCAGCATCACACCGTTCACCACTGATATTTACACATCTCATCTTTAGCTACATTTATGACGTTTCCCGTTACACAACACTGAAGAACAATGACAAGTTTCATATAACACAGACAGAGTGTAACTCCAACAACAACTACACTACACCAAATCAATTTGCTTGTTTTATTAACTGACAGCCCTGATTGTTCGAACCATTTCTCAAAGAGTCAAACTGCCAACTCGGTCAGATTCTTCACATACAGCCCCACGGTAATTAAAACATAGTTCTCGGCTCTCCTGGCCGGCCCAGATGTCGGACCCGCAGTCCACAGCCGGGACAATGTATTTCAAAACACATCGATTTAGACTTATATTTTACTTTTTATTTGAAACTTGGAATCATTACCAATTACGTCAGGAAAACGCTAATTTGTAGTTATGTTTGAAGACAATGACGTATCGCGTATACACGAGAACAGAGAGAGGGATGTGAGGAGACGGGGGCCCGATGCCAGAACTACACAGAGAAATTACCGCGACATGCCTTTCTGAAATGTCTACAATGGAACAATAACTGCGTTACAATGTCGGAGTCTCGCGGGGAGCATTAGGGGTGAGGGAGTCACACAGTAAAGTATACCATGTCAGGGAGTTGTCACTTTGACTTGAAGATCATTGGACTCTGTCGACTTGATGTAATGCGATTTGTCACATAGATTGTCAGTGGGGCAGTGACAACCCTCATCCTAGCCACACACGGAAAAAAGTTTGTTCGCTGAACCAGAAGGCCGATACAATGTCCCTAAACCAACATTTGCAGTAACTAAGCACAAAGCTGTCACGGGTAACTAGAGGCAAATCCCGTCTTTGTACGAGATCCGCAGCCTAATTATCTTAAGTGATCATCATGTGTGTTGATTGCCCTCTGCTAACGTGTGGTCGGTGCGCGATTGTCGATGAGCAGCCATTTAGCTTTGTCAGGTAGCGCTACCTCATGGTGCGGTAATCAGGACGGTTCGGGCCATGTTTATATCGGGTGGACAAAGGAAGGCAACACCAGATACTTAGATCGTTACTCGCTGAATAGAAAAAAACGATCGTCATTTTCTGCCAGGAGACATCATTTGCCTTCCTCCTGTGGGAGCACAGATTGTCATTTTAATCCAGGTTTAATTTTTATTACTAGAAAATTCACCATGCTTTTAAGTTACAGTGCTATAATTTCCTCTTGGCCCATTGCCTGGGAGTTACAAATATTCCATATGGAGAAGAACTTGATTGATTTTGCTTGGGAGAAAATGTTGGCATGGCAGTTCGTTTTAATCCCCAGAACATAAAACCCTCGTCATGACAAAGTCTGATATGTAAGTAATAGTTACATATCGCTGATCATCGCGACTGTGAATCGAAAACCAATCACCGACTGACTTAAAACCCAAGCTCCGTCTGCATGTTAATGCGCTCTACCTTGCCAGTCACATTTGATAAATTATTTTTTCCGGAAAAGCCAATAGTTTTCCCTATAACAATCGATACGAGTTGTATTGTTCTTACGACCGCTGGTTATACACGGACCACGAGCAGTCAATCCCAACTACAGTCTGAACGTTACCTGGTGGTCGAACAGACATTTTCGCAATCCTTATTCACAGGCATGTGTAAGGCACGGGGCTGCAATTAATTTGCTTCCGAAGCCCAAAGAGGCTTGCCGTGATAAAATGGTGGAGCTTTCAACCATTATAGCAATCATTTGCGCCAACATAATAGTTTACTACTGTATCATAAAAACGAGGAAGGGAACTATACACTGAGAATAGTGAAATTTCCAATAGGGAATCAACATCTATTTTAGTTACATGTTTATTTATATAAGACTAGGGAAATGTTTACATATACGTTTTCCAGTTAAATCAGTTTAAAGAGAACTGAGTATTACGACTCTGGCTGTGTATACGTCGCCAGAGTCGAGACAGTGTCTGTCCCTATTCTGTCACAGCTATACTTTCTCAGTCGGTGGCCTCGCTATCGCATAAATCTCCAAATAAATCCGACGGGTTCGGAACCTTCTGACCGTGAAACCATGATGAGCTATAATTAGCAAGAACTAACTGATAACGTAATTAATAGCGAGCTTTTCCGTGAATAACTTTCCCTTCCACAATACATTTCATATAAGGCGAACATAATTATGTAAGAAACCAAAATTAGCAGTTCAACGCTCCGAATTAAATGATCGGTAAATTTGTTTTCAAAGTATAAAAGTGTTTTTGTTCCATGTATTACATTTAATTTGAGATCAATGGTAGATCGTGAATGCCGTGTTGCGGGTATGCATCGAGAGGCGGGTAATGACAGACTGACACGAGATTTAAATCAGATCAGGTGTGTGACCTCCAGATCGTATAGTAAGACTGCAGATACATTGCATGGGAACGTTATTTGTAAATTCAACTAGATTTTTTTCTATTTATAAAAGTTAAAAATGTCTACATCCGATACACAAGTTGTTTCTGTATGAACTTCCCACTCATAATAGAACGATGTAAACGGAGAGAAGCTTGCTTGTATATTTTCTCAAAAGCTATGCAAGTTATGTACTTCATGTCGCCACAGAGCTGAAACCGGAACTGCCGCAGTTGTTGGCCTTAGTGAACTCTTCAATGTAGAGAAATCAATACCGTTGTTTGAATTTAAAAGTAGACAAAATTGAAAAGGCAAGCTCTCGACAAAACTGGTCGGACTATTTAGTACTCTGTGACAGGTTGTATGGAGGGAAACTAATACCCCTTGGCTGTTGCTTTTCAAAAAAAAGGCCTCATCGTGTAATTATGTCATATTCCCTATAGAAAAACTGATCACTAAGGCATGTTTGTAGTAAATAAAACATTGCAATGATTGGGTTGGAAATAACTAGAACTCTTTCGAGAATAAAGGTACAAAGGTGATGTACACCAAGGGCACATGAGAGTTCCCTTCTTAACTAAGAGAAGAGACCGAAAATTGAAATCCAATCGACCATGTAAAATGTTTATGCCGACTCCACAGAGTCTGTTACTTTCTATCGTACATACTTATGTTGGAATTCCGTCCTTTTGATCCGGTCCACATTTTTAAAGGGTGGCGACTTTAACCTTCAGTACGGCATATTTCTCTGTACTTATTTAATGAAATGAGATTTAACTCTATGTATTACAAATCAAACACACTTAATTGTGTTGTCTGTTTCGCTTTCTACCCGACCACCAGATCCTGGGTCAGACAGCCCCGCTAGGCTATTGTCCTCCTCCATTCTACAATTCATGGTGGTCACTTCCTACTGTAGCCGACATAATGGTTTCGGGATATGTAGAAAAATTGATTATGTTAATACTTGTATATAAGTCCGTAATGTTAATGTATTTAATGGAAGTTGTTCTGTTAGAAACAATGCGATGCTCACACGTATAGCTCAGTGGAATGCCTACCAGACTCACACCAATATGCGCCTTGCTTATAAATGTTTACAGCAACTGTTACGGTAAGTTCGAACCTACCAGAGCATGAGATTGCCATTTGCAGACTTCTATAAATCTATCCTGCCTAATATCTATATTTGTATCAGTGTTGTGATCGAGTTACTTATCAGTTCTGTAAACAACCTTGGGATTTCACTAGTGTTACAACCCCTGTTCACAGATATAGATATAAATCATATTTGCTCATTTAGCTTGCTCTAGCTGCCACTACTGTGGGCAGGTGAGGTGAGTCCCAGTAACATCGGCCTATCGCCTGTCCCAGGAGCCCACCAACCAGGCCATCTGACCGATCACCGATCTCTATCTATTATTGATCATTATTGATCTCATCCATTTTTAATTTTTACCTGCACCGTTTGTCTTACAAATGACTGGCGAGCAAGTCGTGGACGTTGTTAATGAGGGTATATATACTGATTGGTGGTCTGACTCGTTTGCCGTTGATTTCTGCTTTGTACAATTAAATGTATTGTCAACTAGTTTGATATGATTACTGAATGGGCATTGTGACTAGACGTGCGGGGCCAGGGAAATACAGCCCGTGTTAACATAAAAAATGGATGTGTCTTATGTTTTCCTGTCAGTTTATTCATCGATGTTTTATATTTTATGATTATGATCCGGCATCACTGATGTTAGAGGCGATAAGACTAGACCTAGCGATAGCAGTCTTTATATGGGATCCCATGAAATTATCAATTATTACAAGTAAACTTCTTGTGTTGTAACACACCGAGTCTGGATTGCATGAAGCTAGTCTCTCCAGGGCTATAAACTGTCCCCAACTCCTAGGTGGATTCCGGGATAGTTTTCTACGCCAAACACTCTAGTCATTAGTGGCATGATAGTTACAGTCTATGATGATGAATTACAGCAATTTTAGGTCATGAATTTATGCTAGTTATTCATGCAAGATCGTTTCAATGGTACAAGGTAGAAGCGAGGATCGGTGTACGCGTTCCGTGATTATACACGGAAATAAACAAATTAATAATTTCAATACGTATACAGACACCAATACAAAAAAAAACCTCGAAGCAACTAAAATGGATATTAATGAAATGTCTACGTCGGTTGGACAGAAAACATGTAAAGGTATAGGAAGCTCTCATAAAAGCCCGTCTGTCACTAGTATCAACTTTGACAAGAAAATTGGTGCCCAATGCCCGATTGACAGAGGTATGGCGCTCGGTCCGTGAAATACATGGTAGAGACACGCTATGTCTCTTTAGGAACATAATGCTAGATATCTTAGCTCGCAGCGAAACTTTGGAAAAGTTTACTGGCTGTCGACATAGCAAGCAACAAACGTTAATGGTAATGGGGATATGGTTTGAGACAGGAGGGACCCGAAGGTGCCAGGCACGGCAGAACGACTTCATGGCCACACGGTCACGCCCGATTACCCTCAGAAAATGGCGACACCACTTTCATCTATAACGTTTAAGTAGCCTCATGACTTTCGAGTCCTCTGCCTACGTGAAAGTGTGAGCTGTTAATGCGATAGGGGTCCGAGTTGAGTACAAATCCTTTGTTCGCCACAGTAGTGTAAAATTGAAAGTCAACCAAAGATAAACACACTTTTTTGCTCCAATGAATTTTACAAAATTGAGAAATGATCTTATCGAAATTGAAATCTTTGAATTAAATTTTTTCGATGGTTGATCAACCATTTATATGGCTGAAAAAGTATGTATTTTTTCTTACGAAATACAATTAATTTAAAAGCTGTATACAACAGTTGTCCTGATAAAATTGCTCTATATTTTTTTCAGGTTTTATGCAGGATTTTTTTCGATTTTTATGACAAGTGACAGTAATTATTGTTCATGATTGAGCGCACAAGATAAATGTATATAAAGTCTAATGTATATTCTGTATTCATGTCGCGATATATTTAATGCATTAAATACAAAAGTGATATAGCTTAAAATTTGAATTTCTAATACATAACTGAATCATATAGTACGGATATGAGCAGTGTCATAATTTGTACAGCTATTACTCAATATCTTTATCTTGTAAATTAAAATTAAAATATTTATTCTACTTAAATGTTTCAAATAAAATGAGTTATTCTTAACAAAATATTTTTCTTCATTGAATATTGCATCTCTGGTTAACATTATAATGTTCTATTTTGTTTGCATGTAATAAATATATTATTTAAGGAATATAAAGTTAAATGTAATTGTAAGAAGACAATTGGTATTGTATAGTGGTGTCTGAGCCTTGTGTTGAGTATGTACTTATCTACAAAAGCTGGAACCGGTCAAGCGCACAATAGAGTTTGACATGTATGACATATCTGGAAGTTTTCAAACAAACAAGATTACATATTTCTGGAGGCAAGTCTGATGGCGAGTCTGATAAGTGACCGGTGGTCAGTATCAACCCTGCAGGAACTGACCACAGAGTACCAGACTTTTGACTCACCGGCGAAATTTGAGAGATAAAACAAAACCGTGAGCCATGCACAGCTGTGAGTTATACAATAGAAACCCTGTTTTTGTCAACTTTGATTAGGTCTTGATTTTGGATGGAGCCCTGAAGCAGTGGGCAGGCCTTGCAGGCTCGTGTAGGATTGTCAGATACACACCCTAAACATGTAGCGCCGCCATCCGGCCGTTTTTACTGACATTACTCCCACCCTTTCCCACCTCAGGAATGTTTCACGCCGTTAGAGTTAAGGCAATTTGACTCTTTTAAGAACTTGGTTCAAAGCAGATCATCTGAAAATTGCACTATTGGATATTTTTTAAGCATAATGAATATTTTTATGATCAAACAGATTTGATACTTACGTTGTGGAGTTTGTAGTAGAGGCCACAAGCGTTACACACGGGATCACCGTTAGCGTTACGCCGCCATAACGTCGTTGTTGACGTTCCACAGTTGGCGCAACTTGTTCCCGCTCTTCTGGCTGCTGACTGTAACAGAAAACATCAAATTTCCATTATGATAAAAATATACAAGTATTCGTTTGATCTAGTACTGAGATTTATTTTAAAACCTGGATGTGTGCGATGATAATGTGGTGTGTGGTAGTAGCGCTAGATTTTCCCGATAAACACTTCACACGTTTGGAGACATCAGCCGCGGTATGATTCATTAGAGGGTACTGATAATATCGCAGATTTATATTTCAAATACAGTGATGATGACAATTTTTTTATAAATAAAACAGATCAGCTATTTACTGCTATATTTTATGAATCATTGTACGTTGTAAACGAAATACTAATACAATCTGTTCCTAATAGGTTTGCTCCCAACAGCAACTATTTCACATCTGTTACAACCGAACATCAACATTTTCTAACGATCGGCTCGATTTGTCTAATGAACGGTGGTGATAGAGAGGTTTTAGACTGTTTGATAGAGAGAGATTTGACTCGGGTTTATTATTGTAGCGCAATAGACATAGCGGGTCTGAGCTCGTGTTTACACACAAAGTCCCTGCCTCGCGGATAGCGATGTCGTGTTAGTTTATATAGTACGAAATAACAAGAAAATAAGGAAACTGAGTGTGGCCGAGTTATCCCAGGGCTATCACTGGTGTTCTGTGGTGTAGGTGTACAATACGTCGTGGTATATTTGAGATATCCGTTTCAATGTACATTCTAAATGAATTTCAGGGCGAGGCAATGATCTGTAACACGGAGCTCTACCCCTTTAGCTACAACGACTACTCCGCCTAACTGACACTCATGGCGCCCCTAATGCCGTACCGAGAGAATACACGAGCACCCTCCGGGCCCACTGTGTGACAGAGTATTAAAAAATACATATTTGAATTTCGTATGTAAAACGATAGTAAAATGTGTATAACCTTCAAACCACTCGGCGCCTTTTACCTGTACATGGCTTTTAACAAAAGAAGACGGAAACCGCACGCCTTCTTACCCTCGTTTGACATAAAACCATACAAAACCCATCTTACACACACGCTCCGATCTTTGTTTTGTGGCGGAAGATGACAATTCGTGACAGTGACCTGTCTGCCCTATGCTCACATCAGTAATGCGGCGTAATCTGAGCGGAGTGCTACCGGGTAGGGTGCACGCTGTACGGAGGCAAAACACAAAGACCGAATTGTTTCAAACCAAAATATTTTTATAAAAGCAACAAGAAGACAAACACTATTCATTTCATTAAATTGGCAAATTCCCACCGCTATAGGAGAGGTAAAATGTTCGGGGCTATAACAGGCTACACACACAGCTATTATACCTAGTTTCCAAACTGTCAATAGATGCTGTTAAATGCCTGTTTATCCAGTTCAACTTCTTCAGGGCTTTATGAACACTGTTTTCTATGAACAGCGTGCTTAATTTAACAAACTAATATTGAAGGAAGGGTATTATGCCGTTCCATAGCCTACACAAACTACCCTGAGCTTCCCATAATTACAACTAGCCTATGGCCGAAGATAGTGAAACATATAATTACTGGTTTTCTTTTCCCTCCATTTTTTTTAGAAATTCTTGTACTAAAAATATTAATTTTAAAATACAAAAAAATACTGAGGACTAAGACTCAACGTGGGACTGGTATTCAAAAACAGAATAAAAATATGTATAATTTATCAAGAAATGTATATTCATAAGATAATTAAATTCAGTCATGTAAAATAAATTAGATGTCGAGTCTATACTATGTTGACTACTTTGTAGACGCCGCGTTATGTCTATAAAGTGTTGACGTTTTCTTATTAGCGTTATCAGTGACTAGTGGAGCTGTAGACTTCACCATATATACCACCCAACGGGCTCATGGTGATAGCCCACAACGATGATAGAAATTCAAATGATTAGATTTCAATCGAGGCGTAATCAAAACGATAATTTAATACCAAATTGTTCAAATCGTCAATTTACAATCTAAAATCGAGGAATATCATCGACAAATTGTACGATTGTCCCTTCCTGACAGGTTCGGAGCGATACAGTTGTGTTGGCTGAAATAGACAGATCCCAATTATTCGATTTGACCAAATCAGATGGCACGGCTCATAGATTGGTCGGTACCTCATCTACATTTTTGTTTAAATTGAACGAACAAACAAACATTTGTATTCGTTCTTTAGGCATTGATCACTGGGGCTGAAAATCGTGGTCTGTTTCGTAGTTAGATGTTGCCGATATTATTTAGTCCATATCTAAATTGGAGCAAGATAAGGCGTATACGATGACATAATTCACTTCAAACAAGCTCGAGCAAGGGTATTGTTTGACGTCACGATTAAACGTCACGGCTCGTGGAGTGTCGTTGTATGTTTCAATATGTTCTAATGGTATTCCGAGACACATACGACCCTAGTATCTTCTTTCTTTTGAATGTATCGAAATGTACCACTAGATATAACGATACGACCTAGGCCTTATAATGCCACCTTATCTCAGCCATCTGATTGTTTTAATTCGTTCGTATACATAAAGACTGTTCTTCCGCGCTAATCGCTAAATCTTGCACCTCCAATCTCTTATCTAGATCGGTAAATATGCCATCTTTGGTCTCAGCTAAAGAGATTCGAGTACAAAGCCTTGTTCTAACTGATCAGTCTGAAACAATGGCATTCAATACGCTATTTGCTCAATGTTGAATTTAAAGAAAATTGCCAATAGATGATCAAATGTATTTCAGTCGTGTTGTTTTAAAACATAATATCTCTAAGGAATAAAATACCTGACATTTAACCTGTCAAACGGAACAAAATATTTATTTCTTTTGTTTAAGAATTTTTCTTTGTTCTTTTTCGCGCTGATCATTAACGATAAATTGTAAGGTTGATACACAAAGTTGTTTGGTTCACCGTCAAGATACCTATCTTATATAGACAAACAAAGTGAGCCGTGCCGTGGCACAAGGATGGCATATTGGACGCATTACAATTCGTCTAGTTTTATAAATCATAACCCGGGGCCTTATAATTTGAACTCTGTCAGCTGAGAAATTAAAAGAGACTCTGCATTCCCTGCCCACGGCTCGATCAGATAATGTACTGATGTATATACGGACATAACGCAACAGTACTTTGCCTGGAGGACAATACTCGCCAACTTTTAAATTCAGTTCTTTGATTTTCCGACTTTAATATAGAAATATAAAGAATCAAAGACTAGCGCCCCATGAATAGTTGAAATATAAACAGTAGCATATATCACAGGGTTTTTACGTAATGTCACAGGAAAAACGCAAACATCGACACCTAACACAGTACAGATACTATCAGGTCAATGTGACAAGTGCTTTATTGATACGTAAATATGTAATGAGATTTTCAAGATAAAAGTCGGCATTCTAAATCGTTATATCATGAATTATTTTTATCGTTTTTTTTTTTAATATGTAAAGCACAGAATTTTTTATTTTCTAGTTTTGATAGCTTATTAAAAATAATAATAAAACTAGCAAGGACATATAGACTGAAAAAAAGAGTTCGCATTTTCATAAGGACTTAATTATTTACGCCTGTATTTAGTTGTTGTCGTGAGCAACCTATATAATGGGTTAATATCGGTGATAAAGGTGATATTTCGCCTATGACAATATAAAATATTTATGTTATACTTCAGTATCCGTCACTTTGATCGCAATATTTAACTCCATTATTTGACTACAATTTCGCTAGATATTATGCTTTATATCGGACATGAATTCCTTATTGATCAATTATTCATTTGATACAAAATTCTTAGCAAGACATAAAATTATTATTATAAAACTCAATTTATCAAGGATTGGGTTAAAAATAGTTATATATTTATAGGGATACACGAGGAGCAACAACCTGCGGATTTGAGTGATGCCCTCCTATGCTACGGTGGCATGTTATGAATTTGGGGAGTGCTGGGGTCGGTGCCAGCAGGCTCAGCTTCCAGGTTCAGATAAATAAAAACACTGACGGGATTGATAGTTTCTAGTTATGGGGAAAATAGAGGCAAAGCCTATTAAATATTTCTTCCAGGACGGGGGTGATTTAAGTGGGTATGTGTAAACAGCTGGTCAAGGAATCAAATAGCCACAGATATGTAAACTTGACCAGTTCATCCAGCGGTGTCATTGAATTTAGAAAACATGTAGAAATCTTTATATGCTGAGGCTAACGCGATAACGATGGGGGGAGCTGTTCATTTAAACTCCATTACCTACCGATTAGTGTGTATATACATGTGAATTATCCTTCGTATGACCGATTCAGTGGAATTCAATTGCTTTATAAAAACGGTATGAATTTATATCAGTTTTCTTTGTACGCGGTAGTGTTTAGCCACGCCTTCAACTGTCGAGTAGGGCCGAGAGAGTAAAGACGTGGAGGACCACCTCCATTGACGACTGCCAAGTAGGCTCATCTTAAGCACCCGATTTATTTGTATTATCACATCAAACCAAACAAATGAGAAACAGGCGTATCAAGAGTTTGGTTTACGGTTGTGTCCCCACTAATCCTTGTATCAATACCATCTAAATTTCCCACCTCTAACACTCGTCAAGGCACGTGCCGTTCACCTCACCGTTATCTCATTCAAAAGAAATTTAAATAAAGTGTTAAAATATATATTGTTAAAAAATAAACTTTAGATCAATAAGAAAGAACTTGTGATATGGGATTATGATAACTGTATACATAAAGTTAAACTGTGTCGTCTGCAGTGTGAGTAAGAATGTCCAGCGATGTTACCAGTCTGCGTAAATCAGACCACAGGTCATTATGGTTTTTTAACACAGCCCGGTTTTCTTAGTGGAATTGTATTCCTGAAGCCAAACTGAAAGTGTTGTAGTAAGTCCAACTTTTGGTCGGCGCCAGGACTGGTAGCCCAGACAGGAGCGCCCACCCACCGCTGTTTTCGTGTAAAGGCCCCGCTGTCACGAAAAGGGAATTCCTCAGTCAACCAAGCAAAAAACACAGACGCCTGTGTACCTATTACTTCATGTAATACTGCCTACTACGTCCAAATCTTCCTTCCTTTTCATACATGTCCTTTCCTAACTCCACTACACAAACATTTTATAAATATATTTTTTTCTTGATTTTTCTCTAAGTAACCATTGGACATGAAGATTTCCCCCCGTTTTATCAGATTTAAAGAAAACAAAGCTTATCTTTGAGGAAATATTTATGAAGAAATGGCTAATGTTATGTTGTTGACTGATCGATCCGCCGTTTGTAAATCCCCTGCCCGCCGTACAGTGATCTGTTCAGCGAATGGGCGTTTTTCGACATGCATATATCTCGGCAAGGAATAAACTCGAGTGAAAATAAACATATTCGTTGTGAGCTGACAGGGTGTTAAAAGCTGTGGGGAATATAGGCTGTCTCGGTGTTATAAAGTTACACCCCAGTGTCTCTATTGGTAAAATCACGACCGTAAACGCCGACACACATGGCGTTGGAAAACACATGTCATTTATCTTAAAATAGTTTTAAAACCCGAACGGTACCGTCAATTAACGTAAATGACGTCATAATATTCACAAGTCGCACACGGTAAAAAAAATCTATGTGTGAAAAGGTGATAGTATTTTAATGTTTTCAGATGGTTTCGCTTGCTTGCGTGTTATTACTCGTGGGAAATACTGTGTTATAGCATCGTCATTAAAATTGTAGTTCCCGTGGCCGACCGAGTTCCACTCGCATGGTTTAGTGTATCCGGTAGTGTGACATGGTACTGGATACTACTAGGCCTTGCCTCAAAGAGAATGCAAAACTTATTCTGTCGTTATGGCTTTTTTAAACAATTAGTTCGGCATATGAATCCTAGTCGGAGTATATGAACTAGTAAAATATAAATCAATTTTTATACTCGATTCATTAATTTTATATGACGTTTACAAAACTCAAAAATGAGTAATCAGGTTTGATTGATGCAATATCTTTTAAATTTTCTGCTGTTGTTGTCGTAATTAGTGTGATGATAATTATATCCGGGCAATAGTTACTTTAAAACTCCTAAAAATATATCTGTATCCTGGGACGTTTAAATATGAGAAGAGGGACGGTTTCATGTTTGTTGAGAAATGTGGGGTGTTTTGAGGAGTGTAACGGTACTGAGGTGTGTGTGTGGAGGAGGAGGGGACATATATCAATATGTACTCACCAGGCGTCGCTTAGGTTTGATGAGGGGTCGGTTTTGTCCGTTCATTTTATGGTAGAGACCGCATGCGTTGCACAGGTAATGTCCTGTCCCGTCCCTCCGCCACAGAGGTGTGGATGTTGCCCCACAGTTTACGCACTCTCTTCCTTCTGAAACAAATACTGAAAAAGGTAAAACCTCTGTAATTGGGTGTGTAAACAAACAAACAAACAAATACACAAATACACATCAATAAGAACAAAGAGAGACAGACAGTTAGACATCGTTATTTAACATATATATATGATTTTATCAGATAAATAACTGCTCGTTTTTCATTATGACAAAGTGTTCAGTACTTGACTGTCTGCAAATGCACATGTAAAATATAGAAGCAGTTTGTATATAATCATGAGTGTATTCATTTAATTGCTGTGCCCATAAGGAGGCAAGCTATCATATAGCTCACGTAACCAGTCATAAGTACTTTACAGAGCGGAGCCGGATGGCGGAGCCGGATTGTGTTAGGGTGGCCAGGTCTGGCCGTCGTGACAGCCACCTGTCGCCAGTAGTACTTGACCCACAGAGCACTAACACAAACTCGTACGTTTCTCTTTCTACTCCCCCTAATTAGCAGGCTCATAGCCATAAGCCTCACGGCTCGACCACTACGTTTAATTTTCAACGTTTTTAAAGCAAGGGTGTCGCACCCAACCGCGCACCAGGGTACGGGTCAGACGGACGGGCACGGACCCCATGGGAGTCGGAGTCAAAGACAAATGGACGGCAATGAACACCAACGGTGACTAGAGTCAGTGGACAGATCTCTTCTACTTTTATCAGATTAGTAAAAATATCTATAAATACTTTCGTATAAAATATTCATTAGAGCAAGTCGATCTCATTCAATACCGAGGCCATGACAAACAGGTGTTTCTTAATACGACCGTCTTAAAACCTGGCGCGACTTTTCTTCTTTAGACTTTAGTGTTATTTGTTTAATCTTAGCACGGTTAAAATACTCGGAAGCGAGCAGAGTACATGCATGATTTATGAAAGAATTAAGGACATATATCACATCATAAGATATGTTGACATAATTCATTTTCCTATTCAAGAAAAAAAATGATTGCATAAACGTCTATTTAACTGGAGTAACAAGCATATCGGTCAATTACTGTATTGATGTACGAGTATGTCTTTGGCAGTTTAAGGAATTTTGCCTTTTTATTGCACAAAATTCGTTCTTTTTCACTTTTTCATTTAATTAGATAAATCCGCCCGTAACGTAAATAGAAACATTAGTGCGGTGTGTTTACTGCAACGGGATACAAATGGCCACGAGAACGCCCCATGTTTCTTGTACATATTTATAAACAGGTATTGATCACAGCACTAATCGCTTTTTCGCACATGGTCTTCGTATATGTTATCGTTTGTTTTTATGCAAAACGTTATTCGTACAGAATTATCAATGAACAAGACCGAATGGCTCTGACAATCCGAAGGTAGGTTAGATCATTACCACGATTTGTAGTAGTATGTTCCTGTACTAACAACCGCTGGGATTAATAATTATCGATTCCAAAGTTCACTTTCAAAGAAATGTTGATTTCAGCAGATGCGTCAATGCGTTGTTAGAATTGGAAGCGTAATGAAGGGTTCTTGTTAATTATTTATAGTGTTGTCCTAAGACTTGGATTTGCTCGCTAACCGAAGACAATGTGTGCATACGGGTACCTGTCCTTTCCATTAACACTCTAAACTGCAAATTTTAATGTGAGCTTCTACTGGAATAACGCTTGATTTGGTAATGATGACATTATTTTTAATATGAAAAAATATACAATTTTAATACCCCGATTATTTTTATCCAATGAAATAACTTCATTTTTATAAAACACTAATAAATATGTTTTGTAATTTTATTTGAAAAATGAATCGTATATATTGAGTGTAGCGAAACCTTTCCCCACTTACTGCTGTCACTAATGCTAACAGGGGATTCTCCTCGCCATTTTACCCATGTAAATCAATTAACGGGCCACTTACACGTTATGAGGCGAAATCTGACTAAGTATATCTCGCCTTCACAAGCACATTCATTTGTAAACATGGTTTTCCCCTTTATACATAATTAGAAACAGACTTCACGCTAACGGGCAACATATGCTTTTTATAAAACAACCACTATGATATTTCATAACGTACACCTGATGTTGTGTAGTGGTTATGGTAAAACAATCATCTGAAATTTAGCCGGATACTTAAACAGTGCCACACCCGGAAAACCCATATAATCAATTTTTTTTTCTGTGGGAATTAAATTATAGATTTAAGAATACTTTTATTTAATACTATTTTGATTGCAAACTGTTTTTCTTTATAAAAAATATGTTTGTATTTCATTTCGTATTCATAATAATATATATAAATGTTTATTAAATTAGGTCGACTTAATCTGATTATAAATGTAGTGGACTTCCCCAGCTCACGTTTATACTATTTGTCAAACCAACTACCGGTCCCCCCGCGTGTCATCCGGATTATCCGGAACACCTCGAGTGTTGCCTACAATTTTTAAATCAAGGACATGAATACTGACTAAATGTAACAGGAAATTTTCTTAGTTTTATCTGATGCACGCCTAAGTAAGACGTCCATCAATATTGGATCGATGCCGTGTTAAGTCATTTCAAAAATAGAATCTGCACTGAATATAAGTATCATTTAAGCAACTAAATTTATTCTTTTCTTCGGCCATATTTCTACCAATACATTAAACTGTCCATTTCATGAATTATTGCTGCATCTTTTTCAGATGATTTGTTGTCCTGTGTATTGTGTGAAGCAGACAATTATTGCAGGACTGGTCGTAAATATACTGTTCATACATACTCCATGATGAAGCGATTTAACCTCGATATCGAAATTAAAATCTGAAAGGATAAAAACGTTTTTGACATTTAACATATTAAACGAGAATATTCCCAAAAGGAATTATTAAATGAGATGTGAAATTATAAGGATATTTACCTGCACTTGACCTTGTCTTTGTGCGGGGTCGGGATAGAGCGGATGTGGCTTTAAAAACACTGGCGGCGTGGAACCCGAGGGGGCCGCTGGGGTACTCCGAGCCCCCAAAGGATGGGTACGTGGGGACGGGATGGTGTGCGGTGTGACCTCCCCCATGACTGCCAAAGAAAGAGGAAACATTTTCCTGGGGTTCACCGTGCTTGTTGTGTGGTGGTTTGTTTTCCGGGGTGTATTCTGTCGAGGTGGCCACGTTTTCCGGGGTACCGTCCTTGGGTGGAGTTGGCGGGAAGTTGAAGGAGCTGGATGCATTTGAGGTAGCCGGATGTACCGAGAGGGGCGCGGCCGGGTTGGGGTGTGACAGTGACTTGCCAGTAAAGGGGCTCATCCACTGATGGGCTGCGTGGGGCACCATGGACTTACTGTCAGTCAGCCAGCTGTGTAGGGGGTTGTGGAAGTGTGGACGACAGACCTGACTCCCACCTGTAACTAAATAAAATAAAACAAATTAGTATCTACCTCAATTACATTTCAAAATATAAATCATTGTAACTAGTGGTTTATTCTTATAAAAGGAAATTATTCTTGTAAAACATATATGTGATTTGATAAAATTTATTTCGTAAGTATGCAGGCAATTTTGAAATTATTCAGTATTATATAGCAGCGTTTTAGTTTTATTTTGTTTTTTAATTTCGTTGTTTTCTATAGAGGCTAAACTTGTCTATGGGGTGTCCCCTCAAACTCATTTTTCAAGCATGAATTACGGTTGTTAGGTATAACAATACAACATATTTCATTAAATGTCTGCATTACTAATGTAATAGAAATCCAATCGAAAAGGCAATAAATTAAGTTCCGAATTGTTATGTCGTGTCTCCGGAAGGGATAATGATATTTTCCATTTTTAAAATTATATTACACGATTCTTAGCTTTGATTCATTACAATTTTTTTATTATAAAATTAAATAGTGTTTGGATTTTTCCTAGAATTACCTTAAACTCCTAGAGTGACTGTAAATGATCTATAGAATTTAAGACAAACATATTTCATTTCATTAAAATGTTCCACTGTTATCGAGTTTGTGTAAATTAATGTCTTTTTTCGCTAACTAAACTGTCGCATAGCGTGGAAATATATGTATATAAATTGGGATGTAACATGCTGAAATTTTTAAAATTGATTCAAAGTAGAAGAAGGAAATGTGAATACGAAACATTTATATTCTAGCCTAGAATTAATTTTGTAGTAAATGTTGTTTTATTTCTAACATTATTTCGTTTGTACAATTGTAAAAATTCAAATGATTCCGTCCCAAGCTTTGAAGTATGGCGTGTCAAAAGGAAATCAGACCTCGCTATCAATAACGATTGTTTGTACACGGTTACAAATTTGTTTCTGTGAATATTATGAAAATATTTATTACATTCGAGATATCTAATTTTAACATTAACCGTGTGATAAGGTGCATGTACACATGCCTGTACCAGTTCTCACTGACACACACGTTTTTTTTTCAAATATGATTTATATTTATGATTTTATATCACAGAAATATTTATTCTCAGAGTGTTTAGACAAGTTCTCCGACTAAATTAATTGGCAAGAGTCATATTTCGCACTTATATGAAAAATGTGGCATTTTTTAGATTTTTCATTTTTGACCTACATGGGGGTGTGTAAAGGGGGGACTTGATGGATAAATCCCACGCTCCAGGACTCGGTTTTAGGTTTCATGTATTTCTACAGGAGCACATATCTCGGTGCTGTTCTGTGTTTTCCCCTTTCAATTGGTACAAGACAGACCAGTGGAAGCTTGAGAAATGTAGTGGAAAAGTAGGAACACATTTCTACAGTAAGATTTCTACCTTTAAATTGAGGCAAATTGTCTTTCAATTAAATTAATTGGTGGGTAATTAGAATCAGAAGAGGGTCTGGATTTAGGGAGGGAGTACCAGACGGGTTTGCCTCCGTGGTCAGAGCCTAATATAGGGAGCAGGGACGAGACAGGACGGGGACGGGGTTAATTGGCCCGCCCATGGGGAGATCGCTGGGTCCCAGGGAGTCAGGAGAAACTAGTGTTCAGCGGGGGTCCAATTGGGCACTATAAAGCTATCGCTTTGCAGCTGAGACAGCCGAAACTTTCACAACCTACAGTAATTTGTGACAGCGTCTAAAAACGTTTGGCAGCAAAAACATCTGGAATTCCAGAGAGAGTAATTAATAAACTAATTCTAATACATCGAAAGGGGCCATAGAAATGACAGCGAAAGTTGGTAGTTGAGTATAGAGCAGATTTTGATTTAGAACAGTAGTAAAAGTAACAGACAACGATATATTTCTCCACGGAAAATGTTTTATACGATTGGCGGTAAAACGTCGCCGTGAATATTGAGGAATTCATAAATGTCCTCTTTATATGTCAATTGTTTTAAAGTCAGCTATATTTATATAGCGTATTTAATTTGCCGTGTAAAACAATCTGAGAGTAATTGCCGGAGAAATTGAAAATGAAACGGTATCCCATGCGCCTGACGGGGCAGTTAGGGGCTGTATACTTAGAAGTCAGAAGCCGAAACAGTTGTGCTGACAAACTACACCTCACTGACGCCGGACCGCGAATTATCACATACCTCCTCGACGGAAAACAGACGGCAAATTAAAACAATTATCTAAAGCAGCGATTTTCTCTTTTTTTTGGTGCTAAACCAACACATTTTGTGAAAATGTCATTTGTTTTATAGCGTAAAAATATTGACAGTGGTTTCTTAATAATATATACTGAAAAATATATTTACCTAATTCAACAATACGTAGGTTTTAAATCTTATAATAATAATAATTTTATTGCATTATACTTCAAAACAAATAAACATATTACCTGTATCTATTTTGTTTTTGTTATAAATAATATAAAAAGAAAGTGTTTTGCTTACCTATAGCTTACATAATTTTTTAAGTTCTTTAAAATGAAAAGTTTTGTCATGAAGTCAAGTGAAGTTAATTGGTAGGTGGCTTTGGTAGAATTTTCACGATTACACGTTTGATTCAACACAGGGAAGTTTACACTCGGAACAAAAATTACAATTGATCATGCTATACTGAAATTAGAGACCTACCGTGTATATAAGAAAAAGAGAATTATACAGTAGTCGGCTAGTCGTTTACAGTTGTAGGACTTCATGGAGACTACTGTAAGAGTTCAGACTAATTCACGGACCAGATCGAGTTCAATCGCTTCCGTTTTTCAACAGTCTCTTCACCCGAAATTAGACACACGTGAAGTACAAGCCGTTAGCAATGTCAAAACGCTTCAGAAATAAATCTGAACATTTTGTATACGTAAATATCAAAAGTCACATGTCTGGGGGCACGGCGAAAATGTCTGTATGTTTGTACGTCGGAGACAGGTGAAATCCGCTGTGACTATTTTACAATCCGATTTGCTATTTGTTTTTCTTTCCGCGATTTGTCAAAAAGAGATTAGACTTTAATTCCTACAGTGCTGGTTTAACTCGCTTCATTTAAAATATATCATACAAATATTCCTGCCGTGAACGAGACACAGAAATGTAAATGTTTACGTTTAGAAAACTAAGTGGCAGACCCGGGTAAACTAGACTTCTAGAGGGAGACGGCGAGCCATGTAATATATGTGTATGTGTATAAATACATATTTTAAAATAAACTAGATCTACTTGAATTTTAATGTGTATCACATTTTTTTTTCACGCTTACATCTCTACGCATGAGAAGAATTTTATATTAATTTTCAAATTAAACCAAAACGTTTTCACTGCAGACATACACTCTCTTCTCTTTAATTTCATATCTTATAAATCAGTAGACATACCTAAAAACTGCTAAATTAATATTAATATAAAGGTACATTTGACTTAATAATTAATGTAGTATTTATTTAAAAAAATACATGTTTCACTAAAAGCATAATATTTACGATATTTTAAATAACCCTTCATAAGTCTGAAATATTATTATGCTTTGATAAAATCTATCTGATAAGTCGTTATCAGTAGCACAACGTGTAAGCTTACCATGAGAAGGTCTGTATCCCATAGCCCGGGGGTTGGGATAATATCCTGCTGGGTTCATGTGGCCCCCGTTAGAGTCCAAAAAATGGGGGGTAAACATGTCCCCGATATCCTCTGATGGCAGCAACCCTGAGGTGTTCTCGGGGTAGTTCCGGGGGGCCTCGGGCCCTCGCAACCAAGAGGCAGCGTGCTGCTCTGTAGGGACCTCCATTGTAAATAAGCAAATACACAGTAAGTCACAACAACTGAGGAAAATTTACTCTCAAGTCCCGATCGCTTATCTTCAGATGGTTGGTTGAAGATTTGAGTAGCCGTGTAAATATCCAGTGAGGGTGATGTGAAGTGTCTGTATGTTAGGAAGTCCTCCCGTGGTCTGTCCAATGTCTCAATATCACCAACTAGTTTAATCTGCAATAAAATACAATAATTTCAATCAGATTTGTAATCATAAACTTTATCTTACCGGTCATCACTCACAATAAATCCTACACAAAATCTTCGCCGAATTCTTAAATAAAATGACATAAAATTAAATAGTTTAAGAATAATTCATTATGCATGCAAGAAAAAAATGAAATTATCAAAAATCACATTTTAATCTCAAATCGTCATTGTAGTGGTGCCGTGTTGTTCGGAGGGCCCCGTTATAACAGTAGTAGATAAGGTGGCGATGATAAGGCCCAATAACGGTTCACGGATAATGTTGTATGTATCAGCGATTGTATGATAAACATACAACCCGCACCACGTGCTGTATGTATACATACGTACGTACACCTAGGGATTAATAAAATGTTACGATGAAAGTAAATATATATCTATATACGCACATTTTACAAAACTCAAGGCTATATGAACAGTGTAAGTTTTCCAAAACACTGCACCATGCTGTAAACTGATGGGTATCATCCGAGTGCTCGACAAGTCCAGTACGTATAAATAGTAGTTTTGTCCGCTCAAACAGCGATGTTAAATGTGATCCCGAATACAAGTACACGTTGTTTCATGAGTAGATTCGCAACATATTCAATTGTACGACGCCGGTCGTTATACCAAAAGAGACTGCCGTGGCGCGACAACTGCTGCATTGGCCAATCACAGCTCACGTTTCATTGTTGCGGTTGACGTAAAACATAACGCCTCCCTAGGCCCCGCCCCTTCACCGCTATACACAGTACACATGAGTGCGCACATAGAATTCAGTTTGCCAATCAAATAAATGGTACAGTTCTATTGCAGGTTGCCTTCCTCCTTAACAAGAAATGGGCGGAGCTTGATTAACAATAAACCTACCGTTTAGTTTATGTAGTCCAATCATTATACACAGACTTAAAACAGTTAACCACGCCTACATTCATGTACAAGTATTATCAATACCTCAACTTTTTATTTCAAGTGAATGATTTGAAATGCTAATGCAACTCTTTTTTGTACGTAAAATGACTTGAGATGGAAAATAAACGCGTACAAGAGAAACAGAGCGCTAAGCTCGCGTCCACCCTCCGCTGAATAATTACAAAAGAGGGGCAAGTTTAGCTGTTACCGGCGCGGTCCTACCCTGTTATCACTGGTGATAAGCCCTTCCAAAACAGATCATTATTCCTCCATCTTTCACGGCGCCCCTCCCGGATATCGAAAATTTATATACCCAGCTACTCATCATATTGACAATAATACTCCATCACTTTGTACGTCATGATAAAGTAAATATAATAACAAAATAAAAAATAAATATAAATAAAATATTTTTGGAGCGTATAACCACTTACCGTACATTACTGTTTTGTATATTGACATATTAGTCTGTGTATTATTAGTTTTAATCATTCCGTATATTATAACACTACCAGCTTTCTGTCCATCTGTGACCTATGTTTGATGGACCCCTACGTGGGAATAAATTTCACATTTCTAGAGCCTTTCATCTTCTAGTCATATGAGAAAAACAGACTGACACACGAAACAAAGCTGTTCATAAATAACGAAACAGTTTCCTGATCTCTCAACGGAATTAAAACTCGTAAGCAGTCTGCCATGGTTTAATGGCACCGAGTTCAAAAAACGAAAAAGAGAGAAAATAAACATTACAAAATTCGACAAAATTCTGCTATTTAAAGATTAATGCAAACTGTATGTGATAACAATTACTATGAGCGGAGTATTAAATTGACATTGAGAATGTACATATTTGGAATTTAAAATCTAAAAATGACTCATAATTATGCAAACGATTTTGTGATTTACACATAAAAAGGGACGTATATAGATACATTTTATAAATAAACACGTACTATCCACAAACAAGACATTAAATTTAATGCAACAAAATGGGGATTAAGTTAATGTATTTTATAAGAATTAAAATGCAGTGCGGTATGTCACCCATATTATATGACAGAGAATAAATGTGGGCTGACGTAATTTAAAGTACAAAATATATGTGTATTACTGGCACCTATTAATATCTGTATTACTGCTTTCGTTGTAAAATAAAAACTGATCGATCTGCGATGATATGAGAGAGGGGAGCGGGGACGACTTACCAGGTTGGATGTGAGGAAGGTTTGTGATGAAGATCCTAACTGTCTGTCCTATTAATACCCGAACTGATTAGGTTAACATCCAATTTGTCACACATCCAATCAGCGTAATTACACGACGATTAGAGTAGGTAACAAGGCTATCTCTCACCTGGGGTGTCAGTAATCATGTTTACCTCTGATAGGCTATCCCTCTTCCACACCTAGCCATAGGAAATCGACGTTTTCGAGCAATTAAATATGATAAGTTTGTCATAAGCCCCTGCCCCCGGGATACACAGGGCACCGAGGGTGAGCTATCACGGACCGGCGGGCAAAACCGTTGTGTCAAGATTGGATCCAAATGAGAAGGAATTGACGGTACTTCATGCCTTAATCTGCAATCATACACACGTCATAACATAGCATAACAAATATGTTGGTTTCCATATATATTGTATATAGTTTATACCGCAGGGCCCTTTTGGTAGACTGCACGATAGCTAGGAACCCCCTCCAAGGACGGGAACAGGTCCCGATACAGGAGAGATAACACGACCTAAGTCATGGGCTGTATCACGAGCGCGATCTATGAAACCCAAGGGTAGTAATCTAACAGCACAGTCAGTGACACGTATTTCACGCGCCGTCATAAATACGGCAGTATGTTACGGTAAGGTTTATTATTTAAAATTTTAACACATAAGTATAAGGAATATCTTCAACCAGAACTTATCAAATATCAAACCCGTATCAGATCATTGTGAGATATAGCAATTTCGTTTATTTGAGTCGGTGGTCTACCCTTCGATTATATTAATACGAGATAATACATAAAACAGCATGCATGGGGAAAAAATGAAAATATTGATATTGTGATATTTTTCGGATGGAAGATTTCTAACACTTTTTTGATATGCGTGTTGAGATAAACACCGGGGAAAATGTGTACTTTTTTGTGTGAAACATGCTGACTTTGGAGAGCGAATACATAAATGTTTAATGCTGTGCAAATTGGTGCAAAAATATTGTCGATAACCAAAATTCGCTGTCAAGGGGAAGCAACTCGCTCATGTTGTCTGGAGATCGATCAGACACACATGCACAGCGCATACTGTCAACAAAAAAAGGGTCACGTGATTTAAGAATTAATACACATAAATTACGGATGATTTCATGGCAATATTGAAGTCTTCTATGTTTGATACGTGGATGCTGTGAACTGGACCAAGAGAAATATTTTTAATATTTTAAATCTGATCAGGATTTGTTTGTTATCATATCCATTGAACAAGTCTAAGTTAACTTTCTATAATTATGTAAGCCGAATATTATTCCTACAACTAAATTTAAACTTATGGGATGACATATTTCTTAACCAGCACTTCAATCAGGAATTTGTACTGTTGTCAGCAACGGGATGCCGAATTGTTACGATTATCATGAACGAAATCTGTCGGGGATTGTACACTCAATATCATTTTATTTTAATTATTCTTTTATAAAAACCTAAAGTCAAATATTTCAAATATATAAATTTTAATACTCACAAAAGTCTAAAGTTTTATGTGTGGAAATTAAGTATACCGCAGACATGTTTGTTCCTCCAAAATGTACACACATTAATTCAAACACGCCATGATTTTGGGAGAACACATGGGGTATCTATCCTAAATGACGTGCGTGGATATGATGACGCCATTGTTACGGAATAAGATACTATAACATCACAAAACATTTAACACTCTCCTGAAAAAACAATTGTTATATTTTTATCTGACTCGTAATACGGAGTTAGACTGTGTTGATACAAATATCGAGATATTTCTGTACACGTGATTTAAAAACAAATCAAATTGGTGATTTATAGTTGCTATATATAAATTACTCTGCGTGCTACCAGGCACTGTTTTATTCGAAACAACGGTGTATATTCCGATTCGTCAAAAAAAGGATCTAGCCTTCTGTAACAAAACTGTTTTGTTTTGATTAAGATTACATGTACATGTGTATGGTTGATATATTTAAATTATCATTTAATTCACTAAAAGTTGTTCCTATTAACATTTTTAGGTATGTCGAATGTCGTGGAACTAATTTGAAATTTGTTTTAACTACTAATTTATAAATGTCTCACAGAATAGCATTATTATAAGCCAACCTTTCAGTCTGATACATGTGTTCGTAATAAAAAAAAGGATAGTCGCCACGTGAGAGAAGAAACAAAAACAATATGACACTTGATGGGAAACTGAAGAATGGAGACATAAAAAATGACAATTGATAAAATAAGTGTACACTATACGCTTAAATTTGTATCTGAATTTATTAATGTAATATAACACGATTTCATTTAGTACACATATGCATAACGTAGAATTAGGTTTCTCGTCGTATTTTACCACTAACAAAGATTGTCTCGGATAAAACATTATCAACAAGTTATCTTTTGTATTAAAGAATACAATTAGAAGAAATGAAATAGAAATATTTGTGACAGGAAAAGCATTTCTTTTATTTTGCTGTGATCCAAAAATAGAAACACTTTTACATGAAATTAATAGGGATATTTATAACGATATAACGTATTAAAATGACTTTTCTACTATCCCGATCTCACAGTGACGGAGCGTGTGTCTGTGTGTGTACAGTAATACACTAATATAACAAACAAATCCGTGTAGACATCAGCCACAAATACATCCATCTGAGGTGAACAACTCGTCAAGTTCACTCTGTTCCGGATCGCCGTCCGAATCTGGGTCAGAAACTTACGTACGCCCTAAGTACGCGCCTTGTCACAGGAAGTGACCGTGCCAGATGGACCGCGATACGGACGATAAGGCCCAATACAGCTACTAAAACGGAAGCATCCCATAATACTACAAACTTAAGCAACAATCGTATTTAATACATCTCCTTAGAGGCCCACTCGACTCAGGTTTGACAAACAAGACACTGCAGTGACACAAAATGTAACAGAATAAATACCATCGAAGACAAGTTTTTTAGGTGCTATATTGTAGAAATTTCTTCTAACATCTCAAAACAAAACAAAACTATTTTAAAAAATATTTACATTAATTACATAAATCTGTTGTCAGTCATAGATAAAACGTGGCTAGGAACTTTATAAGAAAACGCGGTAAGACAAACCCTTGACATATGTTTTGTTAATTTTAATATTTTGTTAATCTGATTCGTCAAAAAAATGTACGTGTTGGAGTGTAAGCTGCTGCGGCCCTGACCTGCAGGCGCACGTGTCACATTGAAGGACCACACGATACTGCCTTCAATGCAAGAGGATGCGCGTTATCACAAATCGAAAAATCCTAAACAGTTGTAGATGTCTTACTTACAAAACATCTAATAAAATAACAAATAAATAAAGATAGTAAAGTTTTAAGTAAAATGTTCGGAATATCAACGTCCGAAAATGACCAAATACAATGCCGTTTCTGTGTAACAATATGTAAAACAAATATCAGTTTAAAATGTTAAAAGTTTCGAAGTATGATATCG